TTTGTTTGAATTGAAGATAAACGTGTGGACCTATTTATACTGACTGGTTGAAAGCCTCAGCATAATGATAGATATTAGATACTAAGAATCAAAGTATTATTACTATTTATTGAGAAACTTGGTATTCTCCGTTGTTTTATTAGAACTAATTGTTCGACCTTCATTGGCATATGGGCTTCTATACGGATGCCTCGATATTGCCTAAATGTTATTTATGATAATTGGTTGATTGTGGCTAGCAGAGTAATCGAGGACTCACATTTCGTTCCATTTGAGACTCGTCAGCTGGATGAGTAGCAACGAGGGCAAAACGCGCTTCCTGGACCATTCTGCTAGCCACAACCAACCAAATAGTCAGTGTTATATATAAATAAATAAATGCTTTTCTGATAGTTTGATAACTATAATTTTTGAAATCAGACTTGGCTCATTATAGTGGAGAAATAACCATCGTAATTAGTTCATGGATAGAACCCACCTGGAAATGAGGCACAGACATTGTTGGATTGATCACAGTTCAGTTACCACTCCATGTAGTATCCCTTCTATGAAATTAAATAGAAAACTTTATTTGAATACTTAGTCTTACTTAAGACATTTTTCTTATCTCTATGGAGTTTTACCACTATGATATAGGAATAACATCCTAATGACGAAAATGCTCATCACCTAGTTCTGAAGAAAAGTATTTTATTCCAACTACATTTATTATCTATATAGTTCATTTCAAAGAAACTAGAGAGCAAAGATAACGGAAGGTTAGAAGCCAAGGAACCAGACAGCGAAATATTACTTTACTCAAAGAATACGACAATAAAAGCTAAGACGATGAAAGTATTTTCCTAACTGCTTAAGTAGCATGAGCATCAATCGACAGGGAGTACACACAACAGGTAATACTTCAGTAATTGACTAGATTAAGAGTTGAAATCGCTAGTTAATTCCTGTAAAAGCCGGTCAAAAGATTGTAATCAATGCTTCCAATACAGTAACTGCACATGAAACACTTGAAAAGTATTTGCTAAATACGACGTTTAAATGAAACCTTAGAAGTTTCAATTCATTCCAATAGCTGATGAGTACGGAATTTCATAAACTGAAGTACTTCAGTGGATACCATGAGAGCGGATTTAAAATCTTATAAAGATTTGTTTTATTTCTGCTAATTTCCCCAAATTAATGACAAACTTCTAGATTTTAAATACATTTTTTTGATCTCATCACAATGAAATAGCAGAACAAAAGGAAAACCTATTCGATGGTATTTACATAATCATCATGTAAGTTAGAATCATGACAGCATTTCGTAAGCACTGGATCATCGCGTATTGATCTAAGCAGAAAACTTCTGGAAACTTAGTCTACTACATTCATTTGTTTCCACCTCTGAGAGCAATCAGTCATATGATGAGAACAGTCGTCAAATAAATTGGTTATTCATATGTAATCTAGCGAATTCAGACGCAACTATAGTGCACTTCTGAGACTAACGTACAAGTGTAAATGATATGCATTAAAATCTCTTATGTTAAGTGGACAGACCCAGGAAAATTTGAATGGAGAATATAACAAATAATAATATTTTCTAAAATTACTGAAACTTTGAAACACCGGTTACTTCCAAAAAAGATGTAGCTATTTTGCTATGCATAGAATACGTTTATAATGAGGGTGTTTGACATCTAAACAACAGCATAGACGGAAAATAATACATCATTAAATCGTAATAACTAATAACCATGGTACAAAACGTGGCTGCCGTGCTTCAGTGGTCTAGTCCATAACGCTTTGGCATTTGAATTCATGGGTACTAGGTTACAGTCTCCGTGGGAACAACATCGCTCACTGAGGTGCAGATACATTCAGATGACGAGTAAAAAATAAGATGGAACGCGCTTTCTGGATTCCTCTGCTAGCCACAACCAAGTCAACTATAATAACAACATGAATCATCTACGGTGAAAACATTTATGCATTACTTATTAAAAATGAAATGATTTTCTCCAACTTTTGATACATGAGATGCAGAAAGATAGACAAAATCTTCCTTAGAAGTCGTACATATCTAAAGCCTATTTCAACCTACCGCTTTGCTTCGAAAGTTTGAGAAAAATCACTTGAATCAACGTGTAAGTATCAGGTTGATTGAAGAGGTCAGAAATCAGTAGAATATAAATCTAGTAGGCCTGGAAATAGCCTAGGCCATTGTAATATACACAAACGTTATATTTTGTACATATTGTTTGACGCTACGGTTGACGTTTTAAATACACCTGTTCTGTTACTGCCTTTTTATATTTACTAAGAAACTGAATGACCATTAAGTATGGAGTCTGAAGGTGTTGTGCAAGCATCCTCATACAGTAGTCCACACATATATATAACTCAGGCTATATCAGGTCACTGGTAAAGATATATAAAAGTGGCGACTGGAGCCATGTAAAAGCTTATTATAAGAAAATATTACATTGAACTATGGTCACATTATATCGAGATATCATTCCTAACTATAAATACTGCTATTGCCTTAAGATTAAAATATTAACATGACATTTCTCCTCTTTCTTAGTGTCACCTTAACGAGATTATTGAATTTTCAATCTGATTTCTTTGAAGATAAGTTTATTGGTTGGCATATATATGCTAGGTTTTGAAGAATCGAATAAAAAAGCAGCAGTGGAATATCATTCATAAAATCCTGATGAATAAAGACAGTTATGCAATAAAAAAAATTCAACATTATTACAAACTGATCCACAAAATATAGCTTAAACTGATCAATGTTCGACATTCCTGGAAATCTTTCAGTACAACCACTGTAGAAATTGCCTATCTACTTTGCCGATGGGTGCTAGCAAGCATAGAAGCTAGATGCCAGTTTCATTCACTGTAATACATAATGCCTTTTGTAATAGTGTAAAATGTTTTGGTCACTGAAAACTGGATAGAAGTACAAATTTGGTTTTCAACTGTGTCAGCTATAATAATTTGCTGATTAATTTTATCCACAATTGAGTGATTTCGTAATTTTCTTTCTGAAGTGTATAAAACCTGCTAAAGTAAAATCACGATTCAATGAGTAAGGTGTAACACACTTTTAGATGGTAGGATACTATTGACAGGGATTTTATTTTCATATAAATTAAAATAACCTAAAATTAATTATTGGGATTTAAGATTAACAATTCAACATTCCTCTGTTTGTCCAAGAATTAAATCTGTTTTTGACTTGATTAGACTAAGCTATGACAGTTATCTCGATGGCTAGAGAATGTACTTAGATTAAACGTGTAAATGTGGTAATTTCATAGAACATAACATGCAATCAGTCACTTCTCACATAGACCACTCAAAGAAGAAATTATCAATTGAGTACATGGTGAGAAAGTCAAAATCCAATAAAGCATCAAGCTTGAGGTTACAGATACTTACTACTAGTAACCATTCACTGTAACTAAACACTGAGTCATGGCCTCTATTTAACAAATAGTAAACTACTGGTACATCAGTTAACTATCTTGTTACAGATGGAAAATTCACTTTTTAGCTACAAAAATATATACCGACTTATGATTAGGGTATGATATTAATCACATAAGAAATATGAAGTAGAAGAAACTCATCAGTCAACTTCATCTTCGAGATCTTACACGTCTTACAACTCACATCTATTAAGCAATTAATCTCCCTAACTCATCATTGGTGGAATAGTATGAATGGTTGACTGAGTGATATTTCATGTTGTTGACCAAGGCCTAGAATGTTGTGGATACTTTACAAGGTTACAGTTTTCTATTATAACTGTCGGCCTTCGGATTAGACTCAAAATCTAATGATTACAAAGAAATGACATGTAAAGACAACTTTCATTCAGGTGCGGAAAAAGTTATTAAGTCTATCAAGCGTCAATGAATATCTTACTTATGATCGAATGTTATTATAACTGACCCTATACACTCACAATTTATACTCGATAGATTTTGAGATATTTTAAGAGAACGGAATAATTTTGCTATGTTACTCCAATAAACTAAGAAGTCGCAACTCTTTGGTACTTTCTTCTTTTCAATAATAAGAACTCTGAAAATGTTCTTATTTTGACATCTTCTGTTTAAAGGTATTTAATGGTGATTTGAAAGATGATTTCCAGCCTCTTGAAATATTACAGTTAAGCTGACGTGTATGTGAAAAAAGCACTTTGAAATTCGCTGAAGTTCATTCTTTTAAAATTATAAGGCGCACAATTTAAGAGTTAATAAAGGATAAACAATCATGATTGCTCATTAGTCCTTGTCCTGCACTATTGTTTGACAGTATCGGGGTATTTGTAGTCCTTTATTCTTATTTGGTACCATATTCATGGTTTTCTAAATAATACTTTTACATTGATGCAAGGATATAGTTCCACTCATGAATTAACAGTAGTTCAATTATCGCTTTCTCTTTACCCAATGGAATCAGCGTTCCTCAAAAATGGCTTGCTAATTTATCTTGCAAAAACAGTTATCTACACTAGTTTTATTTCAGGCAAAGTATCCATTTAGCATTTGTAAGCGTTTGATTTATCCACTAGTTATATTAATGCAGGTTATATTCTGTTTTTTCCCTTGCCTGCCTATTGAAAACATAAAATTCTGAACCATCTGATGAAAAATGACAGGATAAAACACAACCTAGTCTTTGTAAATATCCACAGTGATGCATTTATTTTATGTAAGCTGTCAAACTTGAGCATTGTGTGGTGGGTTTAACAAAGCTTTTCGATTTTTCGCAAAAGTTATTATTTTATTTTACGTCATATAGATATTTGCTGGAATTCCCTTTGAATTACTGTCATACAATTGCTACATATCCCTTCATTATCGTAAAAGCAAATGACTGAAACCACAGTGAGCTATACATGACCATCATTGTTTAATCTATTGTTATTAAATATAACATAAATAGGAAACATTTCTTTTGTCGTCATAATCTTTTATTTTCTACTTATCACATTTCAGAGCATATTTTCGCAATACACTCCTCTCTATCAAGAAGAATGTCACGACTTTCATTACGACGTTCACCACCGCACGTGACTTCTCCTTTAAATCATGATCATTCTTCACAGAGTGTAGAGATAGGAAGAAATATTGGCCGATATGGACCGGCTAGCCAATGGAACTTATTCGAGGCTACTGATGTGGAGACAAAAAGAGTAAGTTATAATTATGTCATTCGAGACTCACAGGTTTTCAGTGACTTTTCATTTCAGTTAATTCTATACTTGAGAGATTAAATGTGTATATATGAAAAGTGCACAGTGAGAATAAATAACGTTTTTCCGGGGACGTTATAATCCATAGGATAAAAATTATGCAAATATACAGCAGAAGTTGATCAACTTCATAAAAGGGTACGGAAAGACTGATCTTGCTGATAACATGGAAGTACACATTTAATAGGAAGTGTAATTATAAATGTTTTGGTAGGGGAAAGAACGATGGTAAAGTAGAACAAGGTGTGGGAGGTTAATAAGAATCTAGATGATGACTTGATACGAGCCATATACTGGACCAGGGTGGATCGAGAAATTAACTCATAACTTTCAATGTATAAACCTAGGTTTACCGCATCAGTTTACCTAGTTTTAGCAATTCATGTTATTACAAATTCCCATTACAATTCAAAAGCCATTTGAGTGGACAAAGAATATTTTTTTCGACCACTTCTTCACGTTCTACAGTTATATGCACATATTGAGGAATTACACGTCAGCAACATAAAGATTCCGCTTATTATTTTTTTAATGACATTATGCATTTGAGGGAGTCAACTGGGAAAATTCGTGTGTGAATGTTTAAGATGGAATCAGTTGTTACTAGGATTCGGTTTAGATTAACTGATTAATGTATTATGTAACACTATAAGGTGATAGTTTAATAAGACGATGGGGAGGTGTTTATCACAGTTGGATAAAATAAACTAAAAAGGATAAAATAGGTTAAGAGAATTCGTTAATATTATTTCAGATTATAGAGAGGAAGGGACATCTACGATATGTAATTAGATTATCTAGGGAAGGATGCTAATAAATTTGTGTCTTAAAATCTGGTCATAGTAGCTGTAGAGGCAAAACTTCCTTTTTTGAACATGTTTTTTTATCCTGACTGCTACTTCTAAAGTTTGAAGGATCCTTCTTCAGGTACCTTTTAACAAGTTGATGGGAACGTGGTGTAGAATAAAAGATGACTCATTTAAATCCACTTTATGGTTCGCTTCGACCAGATGTGCTAATATGGAGCTGGTAATGGTCTTTACCACGACACTGGAAAGTGTTCTTGAGCACAGAAAATTAGATTCCTACAGTAGCGGTGTGCCAAGCTGTGCTGTGGGAACCATCTCTTATTATTCACTAAGAGACAGTTGAACGAAGCAAATGCTAGCAAAATACGAATAAGCAAACTTCACTCTGTAACTCAGTAAAATAAAAAGTCAGGTATCGGTTTTATAAGTAGGTAAAAAAGGAAATAATCAAGTTACATTAATCAGCAAATAACTCCATATTACTTTTTAAACACGTCTCCAAGATTCCGGCATCTTCAAGAAGGGCAATCTTATAATATTCTGTAAATCTGGAAAAGACACAAACTATAACTGAATGATGTGATTGGTGCCATTCATACAGTTTCTAAGTTTCTTTCCACTTCCAAAAAGGCTGCTCGTAGGATGCATTGGTTGTAAGTATTCCATCCACTTGAAGTTATACACAATAAATTATAGTCAGGTAAATGTCTAAATCTAATTAGAAATGAAAATTAAACACATCGTTTCTAGGAACGAAGATCTTCGTACCAGCTAGCATTATTAGTAGGTGCAAAAGCCATTACTAGATGGAAGTTTGTAAATGGTAAACCCAAAGTGCGTCATGAATTTTTATTCCTTAATGAACATAACACACGACTTAGTTGCTTTGATATAAATATATTTACACCCAGAAACAAAATGTATTTTAAATGGGCTTCATATTGACTAGGGTAGCAGATGATAAAGGTACATCAAAAATGTCCAAATTATGTTAACTTCTGCTAGAATAGTTATTTATTCTGTCTTCATTCCATCTCCAACACTGAAGTGTTTAGTCACATAGAAGCAATATCAGTAAAATCTTCGTTTCCGCTAATCATCACGGTATTGCCTGCAGATAAATGTATAACTGTATTGACACAACAATAAAGTAAAGTGTTTAAATTAGTCACCTGTATGTGCACATTTGAATTCTTGATTTTCATAAAAACCTCTCAACTACAGTATCGCATTAAGTGGCAGTGTTTATTACATTCTGCATTTACATGTGAATCACTTTTGACCTTACACAGTCATCAAAGGTTTGAGAAATGTACAGTAGAGCTTCAAGTTTGTGTTTTTGTATAGATCACATATAAAAATGACCTTTTTTCTCTGCTACGTTAGCTGTCTATGTCTAAACAGAAGTCCCATTCAAGCTGGCATTCCTTAGAACAGAGCTTTTAATCAGATCCTAAATACCGTGTAAATGAAAGCCTTACTCTAAATATTACCTACTTGCAAGTGACAATGACATCAAAGTTCCTACTCTCCGTCAGTTCATTTATTTTCATCTCAGAATAATAAGTAGTTTCGCTACCCACTGGAAGGTAGCTGTTTAATAAATTGTGAAGGGTGTGAAGTAATTTGATTCATATCTACTTTGTCACCACTTGATTCAGACCCAGTGGCTCAATGGTAACGTGCTGGCCACAGAACCTGAAGGCCGCGGGTTCGATCCCTTGCGATATCGTGGGTGCGCAGTGCTGAGGAGTCCCATACTAGGACAAAACAGCTGTTCAGTGCTCACAGGTTTCCTTTGTTCCTTCAACTGATATTATTCTATGATGAATAACAACTTGAAATATTTCCAAATCTCCACAACTCCCTCAAAGTTCAAATAATTAAGCGTAAATAAAATAAAGCAAATGTTTATCATTCCAGTTTGACTTAAATAAATATTATTACCTCTTGAACTACTGATCACTTGCATGCTAGTAAGCTGATAAGACGCACTTTCACCTAATTAACACAGTTCAATCACATTCACATTGATAAAGTTAAGGGAACATTTCTTGCTGTAATAAGAACAATTTTATTTGAGAAAGATGCAATGTACAGAAGAAAGTTATCATAATTGTTTGTATTTAAAGCATTACGTGAACAAACACTCTAGGTGGATATAAAAGAAGCGTTGTGTGTAGAACAAACAAAAAGCTGGTTGTCGTGATGTACTATTTAATTGACATTTAATTTAGCATTGCATATGACAGATCCGATACTATTCATCTCAACCTATGTTTTGCATTAATTTTCTGAGAAGTATTTTGTTTGAGATTAGTTTTAATACTTTTGTCGAACAGTAAACACAGTTACAGTATTCACTGGAGGTTGTTTTGCATGAAGTAAAAATCACCAATTTCGAGGAAGACCAGACAAAGAATGGTTATATTCACATTTTTATGGATCAGAAAATTAGACAGATTCTGTTGATTTACTCAGCAGAAATATTGTCTATTAACATATTTTGAATTTTCTTTCACAAATGCCCAGTTGATTACTTAAGTTTACTGAAGTCTTTGGTATTAACAGTCAAAATGTGCTTTCAGTTAAAGTAATTCATTGCAAAATATCATTGTGTCATAGGTATCCATAAACTTGTTCAGAAAACAGCACTTAAACTGCTAGATTTTCAAATTGACCACTCACGTATAGCATTCTATTACATTTCACTAAAGCTACTGTAGATACATCACTGCAAACTGCTTATTGAATGGTATAATGTGATTAAATTTAAAACTTTTCAAATCTATTTTTGAAACCATTATTATTTCCGCCTTCGTTTCTTCATTTCATTTTTAAAGTTCTCGGGTCTTTTTGATTTCAAGTTGTTATTTATCATAGGCTGACATCAGTTAGAGAACCGTCAAAGACCTGAGTGAACTGGACAACTATTTTGCCCTAGTATGAAACTCCTCAGCAGTGTACACCCACGACCCCATTAGGGATTGAATCCAGAACTTTCAAGTTCCACAGCGAGTGCATGATGACTGAACTAGTGGGTCGGAATCCAATGATCCACATTTGTCTATTTTCGTCATTTCGTTATATACTTGTGAAAATCCTATTTCATCGACTTATAAACATTTGAATGCTAAAATTGTTCTGACTAAATTTATTTTCATTAGTACATATGTTTCAAAATCAGGGTAACAAGAATTAGTCCGAGTTACAGAACTATCTAGTAAATAAGTGGTAAGTACTTGTCAATAGAGAGTCAACAAAAACTACAAAGCTGTGTAATAGCTTCTTAAAAAGAGCAATATAACTGAATTTATTGTCAGCACACTATGTAGGTGTTAACGTTTTCGCAACTGCTTAACGAAATATGAGTGATAAGTTTTATTGGGATCAAATATAATAATGTTTGTGCTTGTAAATGCACAAAAGTTTGTCATTAACTTTACAAATTGACATGCAAAGCAAGATTTCAGTGAATGTCTTGAATATCTGCAATACGATCATTTCTAAAATTATATGAGTATAAAGAAACTTTCAATTTCATCGACAGGATTAAATATCCACTAGAAATTTTAATTCATAGTCTAAGAGGGTACTTTCTTTATAAGACTTAAAATGAACTCTCGAGTGATGCCACTCAGAAACTTCATGTTACTGAAAACAGAAAAATAAATTCGACGACCAAGTGATGATTTTTAACAGTGGATATCAAAGTATTTTCAATTTACTCCGAATAACTTGTCTCACTCATATTACCTAATCCTGTGATTGTTTATTAACGTTTTCACCCCCTTTTTAATCTATATGCACATTATAAACGATTCGAAAATCTTGCGTAAACCCTTTTTGTTATCATTTGACCTTTACGTTATCAACTAGCAACATTATAATTATCGCCACCATTATTATTGTTCCAATCCCCCATTATTTAAGTTAAATCTTTCTCACAGATTACAGTCTTTTAATATCGTATATTTGATACAGCTTGAGAATAAACTCGTTAAAAAGAGTCCTGCCCGCTGAATATCTTGTTTTTGATGTATAGTAAATGTGTTTTCTGAATGGATACATCTTTGCGATGTTCCATTGTAAAGTTAAAATTCAACTTTTCATATACAAGAGAACTACTTA